TCTGTTTCTGTCTGTCTGTCTGTCTATCTATCTATCTATATATCTAACTATCTGTCTGTCTGTCTGTCTGTCTATCTATCTATCTATCTATCTATCTGTTTCTGTCTGTCTGTCTGTCTATCTATCTATCTATATATCTAACTATCTGTCTGTCTGTCTGTCTGTCTATCTATCTATCTATCTATCTATCTGTCTGTCTGTCTGTCTGTCTATCCTTCCCTCTGCTCTTTAACTCTGTCCCACTATGTTGTGTTAGTCAGATCAGGTTCATATATTCTGGAAAGAAAGATGAACAGGAGGCTGTGTAATGTTGTCACCTTCAGTCCATTCCGACATTCATTGTTGATTGTTCATTCCATTATCCTCTGCAGACTCTGATAAACCACATTTCACAGACTGTCTCACATTTAGAGCTCTACATCACACCCCAAGACTCATTCTGAACTGGTTTATAGCACATGAACATGCTTGTTCACTGTTACATGTTTTACGATTAGGTTGAAATTCAGCACATATCAGGATACAATGTCATTGGTGTTTATTATTGCCCCTGGAGCATTCTTTACTGTTTCCCCTAATCTTCATTCCTCACTTCCCTCTTTAGCCTTCCCTCCTCTATCCATCCTTGTCTTTTCCCTGCTATCCCAGCATGCCCTGCTCTCTTGTGCTCTCCTATCCTCTCCTCTATTTCCCCATGTTCTGGAGGTGAGGTAGACCTGGAAGCCTTTCTGCAGGGCTCTGTTTGATATGTTTGATATATTAGGTTGTTATTCTGTCCAACTATATATCAAACATATTCCTACAGTGTCCTGCTCTGTCTCCAGACTTGTGTGTGTTCTGTTTATGACTTGTTCATGAACGTGTGTTTTTGGGGCTTCAGACAGATCAATTTGTGTAGGTGGCATGCAAGGGTGTGTCTTAGGTCCGTTAGAGTTGTGCCGTTTCCTGTGATGCTGTTGATTCTGAACAGTGTGAACCTAAGTGGCACCTCCATGCCACAAGGTGTCACTCTCAGATCACTTTGTCGAAGTTACAGCTAATATTCTCCCTTTCATCAGCTTGGCTGTGTTTGAAATAGCATACTGCCATACTACTAATACTATTAATGCAGTATGTAGTATGCTTTTTGCACCAAATTTTCATTGAAGTTTTAGTATATAACAAGAGCACACAATGCACTTAATGTAACCATCCATTTACAGTTTGATAAATGAACTAGAAGAAATATCTTTGCAACATCACTAATTATTATTTCATCAAACTTGTAAAACCGAAGGGATTCAATGTGCAAAGTAAATGTTATTTTCACATCATGTGACAGTGTGGCATACTGCTGTTTGAAACATTTAGCATTTCTGTATTGCCATCTGTTTCACTTACTGTTTTTTAAAAATAGTTGTCTGTATATACTGTACATACAGTATGCAGTAAGCTGGTATTCCATTACGAACATAGTGAAATAAAGAGTATGTTTAAAATAGCATATTTACCATACTATTTGTGATATTATTGCAGTATGCATTATACATATTGTGCATAGTATCTACACTGGGTGGTTTACCGTATCCCACAATGCAGTGATCCCTCCATTTCACATTTCATGCATACAAAAATGAGCATTCTGTGCATTGTGTACATACAATATGTACTGGAAATGTATTACAAGCAGACTAGCAATATGCTATTATGAACAACTAATACTCTTTGTTTGTGTAGTGGAACGTATGTAAATCTGTCTTTCAAAGGAGTTTGATTAACCAATTGGTGGAAATCTGTCATATTCTTTTTTTTTTTTTTTTCTGGGAACAACAAAGCATGTGTCTTGCTAAAAAAAAATTGATATTATAATAATAGGTAATAATAAAATCTCAGTTCCACAAATGTTTTTGACATAATGGCTTGGTGAGAGGATTCTTGCCAGTCCATTAGCATAGATAAAGCATTTCATCTTTATAATAACTGCATTTATTTGAAGGAAATATCATGGTTTCATGTCTAGCCAGCAGTGAGCCAAGAGTATTCATTACAGTTAATAAGGTCACAATCTACAGTTTGTTACATCTCTTGCTCTTTTTTCACAGCAAGCCGATGAGTCTCTGGACTTTGAGGAGCAGATCCTGGAAGCGGCAAAATCCATCGCTGCAGCAACCAGCGCTCTGGTCAAATCCGCATCGGCCGCACAAAGAGAGCTTGTAGCACAGGGCAAGGTACTAAAATCAAACTTTTTTCTTTTTTTTACATAGGCTATACATTTTTGTACTTTTACAGTGTTGTTATTGCTATTAAAATTGTTTGTGTTAACTTGAAAAACTGAAACTGAAATTGCCTGTGCAACTAACTGAACTAAACAAAGCTAAATCACTCAAATTAAATCTAAAATGAAATAAAAATAAATTAAAGCTAAATAGAAATATTATCAAAAAACCTGAAAACCACATAAAATTACTACAACTTTCAAATTAAAATGACGTTAAAATTTAAAAATCAAATTATATAATAGTACACAACATTATATAATAGGACATAAATAATACTGAAATGGCACTGCTACTTTAATATTTTTTGGTATTTATATTTTTATGTAGGTGGGCTCCATCCCTGCCAATGCAGTAGATGACGGCCAGTGGTCCCAGGGTCTAATATCAGCTGTAAGTTGTTACGATCAACAATTGTAATTGAAGTGAAGCTCCTTTGACAAGAAGCATCAGCTAAATGACAATTACTAATTTAAATCCTACCCTCTTTTAGGCCCGAATGGTTGCGGCCGCCACTAGTAACCTGTGTGAGGCTGCTAACGCTTCAGTCCAGGGTCACGCCAGCGAGGAGAAGCTCATTTCCTCTGCCAAACAGGTGGCAGCTTCCACCGCTCAGCTGCTGGTGGCCTGTAAAGTCAAAGCAGACCAGGACTCAGAGGCCATGAGGAGATTACAGGTTACAATCACTTGAATAATACAAAATAATATGAGATCTAAGTGAATTATTCAGTTAAAAAAAAAATTGGTTATGTGTTTGCACAGGCTGCTGGTAACGCAGTGAAGAGAGCGTCTGACAACCTGGTGAAGGCAGCGCAGAAAGCAGCCTTTGATAAAGCCGAAGACGACAGCGTGGTGGTTAAAACGAAATTCGTAGGAGGAATCGCTCAGGTGAGATTCTTTCCAGTTTCTGAATATTCCTTGACTTCTGAAGTAATGCTGCTCAATTAAAAAGTGATTTGACATTTATGGATCTACAAAGCCGTCAGCGGGGTTTGAAAGCTGTGGTTTTGTACCAAGCATCCACAGCTGGCATCTTACACTGGGCTGCTGTATCCACAAACAGCTCATTTTCACGTTTCATCCCGGGCCAAATGCCCATTAATTAAAGACTTCGCGTCTGCCTATTCAAAGCTTCCTTCCTCTCAGAATGCCTTCATGTCTTGTGTTCATCTTGAGAGGGCACTGGAATATTGTGAACATCTGAGAAAGCCCGTTGAGTGGATGGCGTGAGTGTTTGCATGCACCCTTGAATCCTTGCCATTGCCAGCACAACAAAAATAAGCGTTTTGCACCGATTCAGCCCCTCTTCAGAAGGTTAAGCCTTGATCGATCCATCCCATTCCTTAAATCCACAAAAATGTTACTCTCTTTGGAAAATAACAAGATGTCTATTGCAGATCCAGGCTCATTTTTTTTCCAGCACAGTTTAATTAACTAAAATTACACATTGCTCTAAAGAATATGAAGATTTTTCTCTCTGTCACTAAGACAGCAGCCGAAGGAAAAACTAATTTCGAAAAAAAACTGGAAGAAATCACATCCCTTGGCATTTTTCCTTGGCTATAATATGTAAGCATAATTTATGTATCATTGTACCACAAACAATCTGGCTGTCTTCACTTAAGGAAACTGGTTTTAAACAATCCACAGTACTGATTGGTTTTTAGATCTGAAACTTCAACATTGTATATAAACATTGGAACTCATTCTTTAAACATGAAAATAAAGAATTTCTGTGTGCATTGTTTAGAAAACAATTCTTACATAAATTGTTGAGTTTATGCTTGAAATGAGCAGAATAAATCTTTGTAAATCGTTCTTGCATTCACCTGCTATTGTTTGCATTCATGCAACGCAAGCGAAACCAATTTGTACAAACCATTCTTGTGTAAATTGCCGTAATGATTTTCTATCAGGCTGCATTTATTTAAGCAAAAGGAAATTGTGGTAATCGTTGGTAAAAACATTATTTTGTAATTTGTTGCATTTGTCACATTCATGCATAAAATGAGCAGAATTCATTTGTTTTAACCATTCTTGCATAAATTGCATTCATCTGCATTTGTTGCATTTATGCAACACAAGCAACCAAACCTGTATAACACATTCTTGCATAAATTGCCACAATGATCTGCAGTCATGTTGTATTGATTTGTGCATGAAAAATGCATTTCATAAAACTTTTCCATTACAGTAATTTGTTGCATTCATATCACATTCAACAAGAATGCAACAAGAACAAGTTTCCCATTTTATTCGCATTTGTCGCATTCAGGCAACACAAATCTACAGTACTTATTTGTGTACAAAATTTGTGTAAACGGTTTTTAGTACATTTTTGCATTCATGTCACATTAATTCATGAAACATGACCGGAAGTCATTTCTGTTGTAATCTTTCTTACGTAAATAGTCATAATCATGTTGCATTCATGCATGAAACACAAGCCGAATGAGTTTGTGCAAATCATTTACTGTATGAAACCATGTTTACATTGTTGTTGTATTCATTCCTTCATAATCATTCAAGAAACTTCTGTCGTATTATGCATTCATTTTTGAAACATGAGCAGAATGAATCTGCATGAAATGTTTGTAAATCCATTGTAATGTACGTTTTTGCATTTATGTACCTTCTCATGTCATGTCACAGCAGAAGGAATTTTTTTACAAGTTGTTCGTAATTTACACATTAATGGTTAAACAAGAAAGAATTTTCATGAATTCTAATTTTTCACAAATGTTGCTCATTCAGTGACTAATGGTTTTGCATTATTTCCAGATCATTGCAGCTCAGGAGGAGATGCTAAGAAAAGAAAGGGAGTTAGAAGAAGCCCGGAAGAAACTCGCCCACATCCGACAGCAGCAATACAAGTTCCTGCCCAGCGAACTGCGAGAAGACCAGAGCTGAACACGTCTCGTCTGATTGGACGCGGATCATGATTGTTACGGATGATTGGCTGCTCCTTATATGCAGAGCTAGAGATGCCACACGTCACTGGTTGGTCATTGTCAGGTGACTTGTTAAAGTTAAATGTGATTGGCTCACATGGGATAAGCGCCACTGATTGACTGTATTTTGGGTATGAATGGATTTCCTTTCTTGTTTTTGTTCTTGTTTTTTTAAGGTGTAAAGCACTTGTTAGAGGTCTGCGTGACTGTGTGTTTTACGTATCAATAGTATGCCACTCATTGGCGATAGCTTACCATAAGGATCTCGATAACTAATCCTACACAATATCAGTGCATCTAGTTTTATAATAAAACCAATGTGAAACTATTAATATCTGAACCTGGCTGCCAGACAAATTTTAGTTATGAAGTATGATGCCAGACCGTAAGCTTTCATTATTCGCACTCGCGTGACGATAAGCTTCGAATGCCTCTAGAATGCACTGCTCGATTCATACATATCCCCCTCTAGAACTGTATTATTGTTAGTAAGGTTATGAATTCTAGGTAGTTATAAGGAAAGAATGTACTGGTGCGCTTTGTCGTGTTATTTATTGTTAGCAGAACTTTAATAGAGTAGCTTCCAGCTTCTCTTTGCGTTTGTAGGTCTAGTTGGGGGCTCGAATGAGGTTGATTCATGCAAATAGAGTTTCATTCAGTCCTCTCTTCATACCTCAGCTGTGGCCCAGATTGTTACATTTCCCATGATTCCTCTGTGTGTCTAAACTTAGTCAGGTAGACAGCCCAAACACGACGGATATGTTCGGAATAACACGCTATCACACTACTCATACTATTTCTGCAGCATACTTTCAGTATGCAGATTTTCTGCATTAGAATAATCAGATGACATTCTGTATCCCACAATGCAATGCCAATTTTTCATTTCTGTTTTATGAATTAACAAAATGTAATACTAGCCTCAATTTTTGGCTGGCATACTAACCAAGTAATACCCTTTTTAACACAAAATTGGATAAAAATGCAAAATATATATATATATTATAGGAAACAACATTATACGTAGGAATGTTATATCCCACAATGCATTGTGCTTCTTTTTTTCCAGTTTAATGAATGAACAAGAAGTAATACCAGCTTCAATTTTGGCTGATTTAAAATCGCCATACTACATACGTATATTTTATATGCGTCAAAATGTTCAAAACCTTTTCTATAAAATGTGGATAAAAATGTGAAACAAAAAAGGGGAAAATTTCTAAGACAACTGGCCATAATTAAATGTGCATAATAATAATAAGGTAATGTTTCAACAATATAACACACTACACTACGTTGCACAGTATGCGAATTGTCTGTATTGAAATAACCAGCTGACCTACTATTTTTGCCAAAATATGCAGTATGGAGAAACAGTACTCTGTGTGGAACACTATATCCCACAATGCAGTGCGCTCAAATTCATTTTTAATACTGTAGCATTCTACATATCTTTTATTTGTGGCAAAATGTTCACATTTTTTGCACAAAATTGGATACAAATCCGAAAAACCTTTTGAAAACGATCTGAATTAAATGTGCGTAATAATGAGGTCATGTGTCAACAATTACTGTTTGCATACTGCGCACTATTTAACATACTATTTTTTTTAAATAGTAGACAGTAAACAGTGCTATTTTAAGTATTGAATAAACACAATGCTGGCATTTCATTCCGAACATAACCTGCGTCTAGAGCTGCGTAAGAAGAAAAACTTTACGCAAAATGCGCCAAACAAACTACGTGGTGAGGTCATGTGACGACAATGTAGCATACTTACCGTTTGAAATGTTTATCAGTAAATCGTAATAATCCAGACTGTTTCACATACTGTTTTTAAAACAATAGTAAGCATTATACAGTATATACTGTGCAGTATGCAGTACGCAGAGCGCTAGTATTCCATTCTGAACGCAGCCAGAATCTCAGTGTTGTACTTTCTAATATCACAGTTCTCATAAAACGCATTTGCTCGCATTTCTGGTCTACTTTGAGATTGTACCTGCATGGCTGTTAGGAACACAGCAGGAAGCGCCACATCAGTAGCTTTGTTGGATTCAGTGGCGTCATAACACGTCTCTTCTGCTTATCGTGTACTTCGTGTGTGTTTTTGGTTTGAAAATCCCAGTGGAATCTTTTACGAGGGTGAAATTCCCGTTTCATTTCCTGTTTGCGTTGTGTAGAATAACGTGTGGCACTTAACAAGCTGAGAACTGACTGTTGTGACTTCAGATCTGGACTGCGTTGTGTCATAGTGCCTTATTCTGACTTCTTCAGTAGCTCAGTGTGTGCAAGTTGCTCTTAAATGCTGCTTGTGGACCAGGTTTCACTGGAATTTAATGTCTAACGATACTGAGCAAGTATAAACATCGCCCGTCTTCAGATGAGTAAAGCAGATGTCTTTTGTCCTTTTCAAACTAGCTTTGGATGTGTACAGCGTTGTTTCCAGTCTAAGCCGCCGCGTATGATGACTAAATCTGACGTCCATTGGGCGGCTATTTGATTCTGGTTTGCAATATTGTACCTACTGAGGCCTAAAGATGCACTTGCCTTGGCAGGCCGCTATACTGCCGTACCATGAACTATTTAGACAAAGTTAACAAACCACGAGTAGGAAAAGGAAGGATGTGATTGTTTCTGTCAGCATTGACTGCTTTCAGCTTGTCCACGTGAAGAAGAATATTAAAATGTCCCAAAAAAGAACAAGGTTATCTTGCTTTTCATTTCAATAAATCACTATGTATGACGTTTTGTTTTTTTGTTTACTTCGAGTTATAGCTATAATGAAAATATTGCAATATGTGGTTGAACATGTGGTGTCTTTCAGTGGAGCCGAAGAAAACAGCAAGAACTATCGCCTTCTTTTGACATAGAGTTAGGGCTGTCTTTAATCAACTGACATGATAATAATAATAATGAACATTAAAATGCTGTATGTATAATATTTATCTGGTCACGAAAGTATTTTTTGTATTGCCCTGAAAATAAAGAGTTTCAACAAAGTATGATTTGTGAAAGCATTTTTTTGTGTGTGTGTGCATGTGTGTGCGTGCGTGCGTGCGTGTGTGTGTGCATGTGTGTGCGTGCGTGCGTGCGTGCGTGCGTGCGTGCGTGTGTGTGCGTGTGTTCGTGGTTGTGTGTGTGTGGTTGTG